TCAGTATAATTATCTTATACTAATTGAACTCTAAATTTGAAAAACGACGTGAGTTTCATATTATACGTGAGTTCCATATCAAAGTGACTTAAATTTCCATACATGTAGGTAACTATTTGATTTGGTTTTCAAATTTGCAATTGATGCTTCATGCTTATTGATGTACTGTTGTTTAATTAGTTTTGCGTCTTGTTCTAAAATACGGGTGCGGTGGCCATTTAATCGGCGGTAAGGCGCTCGGCGGCCGGAAATCTAAAATCTGAAATTTGGCCTATTCGGTTAAAAACTCGGAAATCTGAAAATTTTTCAATTTTTTTATGGATTTTATGTTTGAAATCGATAAAAAAAAATCCAAAATCATATTCAAGTAATTATACTCGGAAATCTGAAAACTCGGTTGGGCTATAGATTAATTATATTCAAGTAAAAATCACAAAAAACCAACAAAATTGACAATAATGGTGAAAAAGAATGAACGGCGGCGGAAATTAGGGTTAGAGTATCGCAGGTTAAAGATAGAAGATGAGGATAAAACTGTAATTTCGTATTTCATTAAAAAAATGAAAATTGGGCGTTCTGGGCCTCGAACCCAGGTATAGGAAGTGTGATAACACACCAAGCCGCTAGGTTAACTAATATTTACTAGATTTGTACTCGCGTGTTGCGCAGAATTTCAATATTAAAATACAAACAAATGTGTTACATTATTTTAAAATAATAACAAATCTTTGAATATAGTTATTTATATCTATAGTGTCACTTTTATTTAATATTTAACATATTGAAATTTATTTTAGGAGGGGACGGAAAATTTCAATCATATATGTTTGGGCTATTAGTAGAAATATATTTTTCACCAGTTCCTTACGCAATTTTTTTTATCTCCAAAGTTTGTTAACTAATAACTAATGGTCTAAACCAAAGTCTTTAGTACTTGATCTTTCCATGAAATACCTAGTTTATTTTTTGGACTTAGTATACTGCATTTTTCATTAATTTAGAAAATTCCTTAACCAATTTGGCATATTGCTACTTATCCACGAAACATAATAACCATATTCATAGGCATAGTAAACATATTTATATTGTGGAGGTCGAAACCAACGCAATTGAATTTGTCAAGGGTTTTAGAGAAAATAAGAGATCTTTGAGTAAGAACCCCAAGAACAAAAAAAAAAGAAATTGTTGTTAAAAAAACTTTTATTGATTTTTGCAGAGTGTTTGCATATAAAGCTGCGGATCCCTTTTTTTAAGAGAGTTACAAGAGTATATATACAAAACCCTAGTCGGCTAGGTCAAACAACTAAATCAATAAGGAACATTTTCTTATTTCTCGAGATTTCCTTTTATCGAAGTCGGCGCTCGCCATGAGCTTTGTCGTCATGGGCTTGGTCTAGCTATCTCGCCATCTTGGGTTCTACTTCGGCCCAACTTATTGTGGTAAACCAAATGGGCTAGATTGATTCGACAAAGTGACCTCGCCAATCTTCACTTTGACGGTGCAGGAAGCCTCGGCGAGATAACGATGTCGGCTAGTTGCCGAGCTCTCCGAGATGACAACGTCGGCGAGTTGTCGAGCTCTCCGAGATAGCGTAGCCGGCAGAATGCACCGGTAGTCGGCTGAACACACTAGTAGTCGGCAGAATGAACTAGTCCGGCGAGTTATCCAAGTTTGCATAGTAAACTAGTCCGGCGAGTTATCCAAGTTTTGACCCCTAACATATTTGCAATTTGATTTTAATCTTATGGCATAGATTAGAAGGCAATATAGTTGAAATAGTTAGCAAACAATGCATGTTTTGCAGATAAGACTGGAAGGCGGGATAAGTCCTTTAAGTAAGAAATCAATAATCGGTGTGTTACTCTTTTGATTTTTTTTATAGGACGTGTTGAAATTTTTCATTTGGCAATGCTTAAATAATTAAAATTACATGAGTGGCTAGACTTTTACATTTTGCATTTGTTATTACAAATATATTATTTTATCATTAATAGCATTGTAGTTTTTATTTATGATTCGTATAAATTATCGTTTCTCTATTAAAATATGTTTTTATAGTGTTTTCATGCCAATATTTTAATATAAATTCCTAGTAATTGAAGTTTTATGTAGAAATCTTTTATATATTCCTAGTTATTGAAGTTTTATGTAGAAAGTTTTTTTCCTAACACTTTTAAAAAAAAAATTTATATGTTTTGCTTTTTTTTTTCTATACTAATTTTCTTATTTTATAATCTTTTGAATTTGAATATCTTATTTATTAAAATATAAATATAAACTTGAAGTCAAATTTACTTTATTCTTAGTTATGTATATATTGCAAAGATAATCAAACAATATTAAAACACATATTAAATTATTTTGAAACTATTAATTGTACTTATTTTCGTTTTTATTTAATTTAATTATCTAGTAACTATAATTAACAATAAATATGTAATAAATGAACATTTATAATAAATTTAAATAGAAATTTTTATTTTTGTTTCGGTGGATACCTTAAAAGGAGAGAAAACTCTTCCATTATATATATAGATTGTCCTATACCGCCATATCATATATATACCTCAAATATGTTTAAAACTGTAA